AAATACTTTTCCTCATCTCAAATTTCTTTTGTGTAATCCCTAAAACCTCCTAAATGTATTTCAAATGTTTTTTTCCAGTAAAACTTTATATTTCATCTGTTATTTTCTGTACCCTAATTCAAAACAGGATTGATCAATTCTACCAACCTCATAACCACCAAAAAAAATTGAAATAAAACTTTCTTTCTAGAATGACTTCAAATTGTAACATGAAACTACATTCGTTTATCCTAAGTAGCTATAAGTTTGTAGCATCTATTTATAATTACATCATATTGTTTTATTGCCCTTTGAAAAGTGTCTAACTACTATCCGTGCCATAATAAGTTGTAAGTCACTCAGGGCAGGTGCAGCTCATGTTATGCTATTGAATTACTTTACCTACATGCTGCTTGCATTTGTGCCTCATGAAACATTTTTATTATAGGATTATTATTATTATTTATTTTACCTAATTTATCTTAACTAACCTAAAAGGATCCCTATGTTTACATTTTAGTTACTTTTATAATTATACATAAAGAATATAGATGAAAAACAAGAAATATAATACTTAAGAAATCTTCTTTTTCTTTGCTGTCGACTGTTGATGAAACTTGAGCCTACTTTTATATAATAATGGTACTACGACACTAGATATTTTTTTTATTACTAAATAATGAACCAAAGAACATAGAATGGTAACATGCAAAAAGTAGACAATTTCTCCTAACTCTCAAAATTTTTCTGACTTTCTAATTATGTGACGAAATGGGAATGAAGCTTGTACTCTGAATGAAATTGACGCTTATCTGTTCAAAACACAACATTATACAATACTTAATTTTATAGATGAAAATCCTTGACTTTCTATTGATTATAGGTAATATATAATTAAACATAAAAGAGAACTATTATCAAAGCCTGAAAGAAAAGATGTGACAGGTAGGTGTGGCAAAAGGGGGTGTGATTTTCTATTTATAGCTCTGTAACCAAACAAAATTGAAGGCTATAAAAATTATAGTTTGTTTGAGCAGTGACAATCCTATATAGTAATTTACATTTAATTTCGTACTTTTTCAAGAGGTGATGAATAAAATAGAGAAGACAAGATGCCTAGAGAAAATATGTCACGAGTGTCACACTAGGGGAAATTCAGGATTGTTTTTAATATTGCCTTGTAGAATTAGGAATTTAAAACTTATATACTACTAAAATATGGATTATTAGCTACAATTTTATGCTATATTAATTGGTATAACATGAATAAAAAGTAGTTTAATAACATTTTGAATGTAAGACACTAAAACTGTCTGTCATGCATAGTAAAGGATACCTGGGGGCAAAGGGTTAATGTAAATCATAAATAAATTGATAAAATTTGGATCCAGTCAAAATTCTGAATTTTTTAAAAAGTTTTATACATAGCTTTTGACTTGGATCAACTAATTTTTTTTGGAAATAAACCTAGAGAAAAAGTTTCAGTTACAACCAATAACTATTAAATTCATATAAAATAAGACTAAAAAAATACCTTAACAGTTCCAGACTCTGAGTCACTAAAAATCACAACATAAGATACCCCATTTTCTTCACAAAAATTTGAAGCATCTTCAAGACTCTGAAATAACCAGTAGAAGTATTTATAACAACCATATCAAAATACTGCATTTAAAACTTTTCATATTATAATTCATTTACAGTTTGATATATCAAAAATTATCTGGAAGGTTGCAGGCGTCGAGATAAATACATCATGACAATTTAATTAAAACAATATATCATTAATAAGCACATTAGAAATAATACACTTTTTAGAAACATGAGCATAGAACAGTAACTACCATTCATGACACTATTGGGCATTTAAAACTTAAGTAAACTTTAAATACCCTTACCTCAACTAAGAAACATAAAAAGAAAAAATCTCTACAGAGTTCATTTAAAATATATTTAAATTCCAATGTATACAGAGACAAAATATTAAACTATATATAACAGTATTATTCTTCATGTTACTGAAAGCATTTCACTGAACTAGCCTTTGAATCTCACAATTGCTTTACCTTACAAATATTTCAAATGGTGGCCAGGTTCATTAAAATGCTTAGTCACTGAGGTGTCAGTGTTAATTCTACTATGACCCCAATACTGATTCAAATGAACATAAAACAAGTTTTTCTTTATTTCACCACTTTGAATTGTAATAAATTTTTGTTTACAAAAAACATTAATATATATATATATATATATGTATACAAGTGAAATGCAATTTTATGAAAAATTTCTATTTTTTCCTACAATACGATTTCATGAAATACATCCTTTACAATACATTCTTGAGATATGAACAAATACTTCTAAATTATGTTTGGCAAAATGAAATAATAAGTCAGCATATATCTGTGCAGGATTATAATAACTGGAATGACAGAATAAAAGCCCACAAAAGAAATAACTTTAACATCTTTCACACATAACTACATAATACAACTTCACTAGTTTAACTAGTTATTTCACCCCTTGTATCTTTTCAGGATTGATAGAGAAAGAGATTTTTTGAAATTTGATGCCAGTAAAATTAAAATCCCACTTTAGCTCACAAAATAACCAGAGTTGCAATTGTCATAAGCTATGCAATAAACAGAGCTATATTACATATTTGGTTTAACATTAGATAACATAACATGGGCCACACCTGTGCTAACTTCAGTTATAGTAAACAACCAAGACTATGTCTACTAGTATCTTGGGTTACCTTATACATAACATGGGCTACTCTGTGTTAACTTCAGTTATATTTAACAACCAGGACTACTTGTACTAGTATACTGGGTCATCTCATATATAATATGGGCTACATCTGTGCTAACTTCAGTTATATTATAGAACCAGAACTACAAGAACTAGTATACTGGATTACCTTATACATAACATGGACTACATCTGTGTTAACTTCAGTTATATTATAAACCAGGTCTACATGTATTAGTATCCTGGGCTACCTCATACATGATATGGACTACATCTGTGCTAACTCCAGTTGTCTAATAAAGAATATGTGTACTAATATCCTGGGTTACCTCATACATAACACGGACTACACATTTATTTTCAGATATATTTTTCAATAAATTGAACTGTATTTATGTGAACTTGCATCACATCACGTACACAATATGTTCTTATCTAACCAAGTTATAGTGCACATTTACATAACCTAAACCATAGTTAGACTATATTTAGTTACAAGTATATCTGTGTTAACCTGAGTTAAACAAAGAATTACCTGAAATACCGACTTAAATTATATTAGTGTTAATATGATTTCAATCATACATAACCTGGAATAGAGTTTTTGTAACCCAGTTAGATCTTGCATAACCTGAACTACATGTGCCAGTCTGAGTAAGAACATGAAAATTTTCCATGAGAAATATGTATAATAGCATTTCATCTATACCTTGTTTGTTATATGCTGCTACTGGGAAGAAACTTTTGCCCATCTGGGCCAATAAAGAATGATGTTGTTTAAATTGTCATTGTCTGCATTGTGTTTTAATATCATACAAACTTTACAATTAACTCATATGTAATTTAAAATACATTTGAGTGACCAATCTGGATGAACCTCATACAAAGCCTGGATTAAGTAAGACTGTACTAAGTTATATCATGAATAGCCTTGCCCATATCTGTGTTGTTATACTGAGTAAGATCATACATAGCTTGTATAACAGTTACTTAACCAAAGTCAGATTATAAACAATCAAGATTACATTTCACATACCTCAGTTGGATCATACATGACTTGGGCATTTATTCCTGCCATCCAAAGTTCTTTCAGCAGAACGCATTTTTCTTTTAACATTGGACGACGACCAAGAGAACAAATTAAGACATCCACAAGACTAGGGGCTTGGAACTGAAAGAAATTACAAAGTTCAATTATATTTTTCCACACAGTATTCTGAGCTACAAGCTACATTATTTCAAGTATTTAATTTTAGAATGCCCAGCCGAGTGCAACCTGCCAACATCAAAGTTTGCACCACCAAATAAAAAAAATTGTAGAAAATATAAACTTGGAATCCTTTTTCCATGCATTATAAAAAGGGAAAATATTTCAAAGTGGAAATTATTTGAATAATAAAAGTTTTATTTATTTCATTTTATACATAAAAATGAAAAAAATCACAATTTTTGATTTTGGGCTGATTTCAGCAAACTCTGAACAAAAATAATAGTGTTTGAGAATTTCCTGAATTTTTTAAATAATATACAGTGATCTTATCCCCTGAAGAGAAAAGCCAAAATAGTTTTGAACAAAAGAGCATCAATCTGAACCTTGTAACTTCAATACAAATACAGTTTTAACCAATCACTGTATGCCAATCACTTGGTTTTAAGAAGTCACAGTTCAGTGATCTAAACACATAATCAAAATATTTTTTCTGTTCTTTTCAATGGTATAAGCCAATATGGCTTCCATTTCAGTGGAAGTAAGAATAGAGGTTGGAACAAACTGAAAAAAGCTTAGTTTGATATGTTGCTAGTAGAAAAAATATTTGTGAACAAAATTGGAACAATTACAGTCTCGAAATAACATGATGTAGAGAACTATTAGGCTTAGTTAGATCATTTTGAATTTGAATGTATCAAGTTTTGTTTCACCATCATGTCTTTGTTTGTATGTAATGTTTATATAGGCTTTATCAGCCTACAAGTAACACTTGAATGGAAAATCACCAAAAAAATATTAAAAATATCTATAAATAAATATAAAATGTGTTAAACTTAATATATATATTAAATTAAACCTTGTGATAATTAATTTAAAAACAACTTGGATTGCTTATAATTTTAATATGGTAGAAAAGGTTTTTTATTGTATGCCAACGAACATAAACACAGTGAAACTATGATTTGCATTTTTTAAATCAAAACAAACATAAGATTTACAGCAATGTAGGAAGACATAAAAATCAGTTAATGAAATGTACAATAAATTTAAGCATTTTGAAAAAAAATATCACAATGAAATATTTCTGACTTTTAAAAGGTGAGAATTCTTATAAATGTTACATATAAAAATATTCTGTTTTGCAAAAGCTATATAGTCTGTAGAAAATTCATTTCAAATTCCAAACAAGTTCTTCCAGTACTATATTCTTTAATGATACAAAACACAAACCTCGGAACAAGTGTATCAAGTACTTAAGGGGTCAATATGTGTACTAAAAACATAATTCCATCTCTGGTTATTGTAAGCAGGACTAATATTATACAATGATAAAATATAATCAAAGCACAAACCTTGTTAATTAATAATAGCATGCACTTTATTTATCCTTGTGAAATCTATGTTTTAACTATGTTGTTTATCAACAGGTGCAAATGTACAATACTTTTGAAAAGACATACTACAAGCTAAGTAATAAATAAATAAAAACTCATTAAATGTAACAGATACTAAGAATAAAAGAGAAATAAAACCACATTCAAAATTAACCCTTTCTAGACCACAGAGGTATCACTGATAGCAATTCATGTTTTCCCTTCTCACAATAGAAATACTTAAAATTGCATAACACTTGAAGCAAATTTGCTAAATATTATCTAGTTTTGGCTTTAAAAATTAATATAATTTGGTTTAGCATATTTATAATTTTTCAGGTTGTGAAATTCCCAAAATTTTCTTGTGAGACACTGTTTTAAAAAATATTAAAGAAATGTTTCCTCTAATCTTAGAATTTAAATTTCTTTATTCTTGACTGTTTAGTTTTATTTGTGAGTTAGGACTATTGCATGGTGTATAAAAAGCTCAAAAAAATTTAGTATCATCCTACTTAGAAAAAAACTTTAATAAGACCACCATTTTTTCATGTGCATTTCTCTTGATATGTTTTCCAAAATCAAAACTATATAAAGACACAGAAAGTGTACACAAACATACATAATTCTTACATTGTTAAAACCCCACTGGAAAGTCAGTGGGATGTTTTTAGGATATTTGTTTTTAAAAAATGATGTATACAAGTAACACAATAAATGTCTATCACTCAGCACTGGAGAGAATTCAAAAGCATGAAAAGGGTAAGTTATGATGTTTTGTTACATAAAAAAAAAAACTTACTGATCTTTCTTTTTGTTGAATCTCAGTTCATAAATATGATCACAGACTCGAGTGAGATATTTTCTGTGCCGTGCATGCCTGACAAAACATAAACAAATCTTACATATAGTGTTGATAATTGAGTACAATATCGCTTGGAAACAAAGTACACTTTTACTTACAGTAACATACAATTAAAAATATCAAACACATCTTGTAAATATCAATATATATCACAGTGATCAATTTATCTTTCTTTAGTACTACTAATTTCTAAAACACGTACATGAGTTTAAAACGTACTCCATTGAATTAAATGAATTCCAATATTTCTTTTAGCAAAATGTGAAAAATATTATTGTAACTTTAAAAAATAATGTTTAAGCTAATGACACAAATGTCTAATAAAAACAATTAACACATAAATCTAACCTTTCCATCACTTCACTTATACTGGCTTCAAAGGCTGTTTCAGAGTCCAGCTGCAGAAAAGAATGAATATGTGAGTTTTTATGTGATTGAAATTAGAGATAAACATCCCTACACTGCTACCAACATGCAAGATGTAACAAATAATCTACCTGAAAGATTTACAAATAAAACATTTTACATAATGATGGAGACTTCATAGCTTCATGCATATAACCTATATTATAAAAGTTTTATAACACTTTCACTTATGGTGTGTTAAATTCCAGTCACAAACATGTATTACAGGTAAACCTTTAGCCTGAATAATTTGTAAAAATTATTATTTCTTGCACAACTTATACAAGATTTGTAATATGGCGATAATTTTGTAACATGAAATACAATATACATTATAAGTACAGTTTTAATAAAACCACATGTGATATTTATTAACAACTAAATAGAGAACTAAGCATAATGGTTTAATTAATTTAACAATAATAACAATGTGAGATGTTGTGACCCGTGTTTTAATATTTTAATTTTGAAGTTTTGTACTGTTTGTTAGAAGGAGTTTTGGCATGATTTAGTGATGTATGACACCTAGAAATTTGAAGTGATGCCTCGAATCTTCTAATATTTTGTAATAATATAAAAAGCACAAGAGAGTCGTAATTTATTAGTTAGTTAGTCCGTGAATACAAGAGGAAATTTAACAACTAAGTGACTGTTTAGTTTTATTTGTGAGTTAGGACTATTGCATGGTGAGCTTGTAGAACTTATGGCAAAAGAAATAAAATGCCTTCTTTTTCACTAAATGGGAAGGACTTTGCACTGTTTTTACCAAATAATTATAAAGAACCTGCCCAATGATAGAAACTGCTATGATGTTATCATCATCTACATGCATTAACCACTTATCTTGTTCTAATTAACATTTATTACCTTTTCTACTCGATTGTTACCTCTCAAATTACTTGAAGTAGCTTCATGAAAAGATCTAACATCCTACCAGACCTACACATCATGATCAAGAAACATGAATGTATCCCACATAATCTGTTAAAATGTGTAATTAAGACTTGATGCTACATTTTTTCTAATCAACTAATCCAAATTCTTCATAAATGTAACCGAGAATATTTGTGAAAAACAGGCAAAAGATAAGTAGAGATTACGGTGATATGTAAAGAAAACCAACTCTAGGTAAAAATTTGGAAATATGAAGACAGTAATATTTAATTATTTTTACTATTAGCATTGTATGTTACTCTGACAGATTATTAACCTTGCTAAAGTCATGAACAGGAGTATTGCTAGGCACTGGCACAAGGGGTCTGTGCATTGATTATATTTGACAGTACCCCAAATCCCCAGTAGGTGTCTTGAAAAATCAGAATAGAAAACCATGATCAATATGATACTGAAATGCTGAAAATGGGTCCGAGCTCCAACTTTTTCAATCACCTAGTGACGCTTCTCATCATGAATAAATTTTACTATCATGCCATATCAGTCCTAGCTATAGAATGTGAGAGGTTGGTATCAGATAAGAAACAAAATTCTTCAGTGATGTATCAACTAAAACAAAGTGTTAAGTTAAATGCTAAAGATATCGATGCCTAAAGTGCAACTAAGTAACTAACTATTAACTGTTTAAAATAAAACTTAGAATATGATATTACACTGCATCAGTATTTGCAATTAATTAAAATATCAGTGAAAACTAAAGCCAAACTCCTTGCCAGCCATAAAGAGAAGTTCTGAAATGTGAGACAAAAATAACAAGTTCAAAACTAAGAAGTTTACAAATAGGAAGTCAAAGGTAACAACACAGAATATCAGTCACTTTTTTTTATCAAATTTGTTAATAAAGTAATTATTTAATAGCTCATAGTTTTGGCATCAACCTGTAAACAACTTTACAAACACATCATTTTACACTACATAATTACCTGATAGGCCATCCTCAGAAGTATCTTTCTTACTTTACAACACATTTTATCATTTTACATAACATCATTACCTGATAGGCCATCCTCAAAAGTACCCTTCTGGCTGAATTACTCGACATTTTGCCCACACTGTTATTTTCAAGCGAATATTCCCACATATATTTTCATACTTTCTTCACAATTTACACACACAATAATTACAAAAAAATGTTCAGAATACAATGCTTCTTTTAAGTTATTTCTCTAAGGCAAATTATTATTAACCCATAAGTTTGCTTATTACATTATTACTTATGATCCTTAGGTGTTAAATTTAAAATTCCTTACGAACATTCATCAGCAACCTAAGAAGTTTCTCAGTACTGGCATATATGCACTTTGGTTTTTATACATAGCTGAATTTCATGCTTATGATGAAAAACAAGAAAATTATAATCTATTTAATTTACAAAACCTGTTATCATGGGATAACAGTTTTACTGTTGGAATGCCTCAAATTAAGAGTGTAGATCAACTTCAAAATATGGAACAACCCCCAAAGATTTTTAATTTTACACATACACTGAAACCGGAGAAAACATTTACATATGTTCTACATTTAACAGTATTAAACTCTTTCATTTACATCCATCGCCATAGGAAGTTTTTTTGGAGTGGTCAGGCCATTGCCACATTGCCATTTCTAGGAGGATCAGGGGCATGCCCCTCAGAAAAAGTTTTGAAAATCTGATGCTATGGTATTGAAAATTGAGCCAGTTTAACTACAAATACTGTATACACACAATGTAAGTTTTAATCAATAAATTGTAGCTATACATACCATGAAAAACTGGTAAGGCCATGACCCGATTAGCCTTATTACTTCCTACAGCCATTACTTCATTTATTATTTTTGTTCTTATTCTTTGTTTACTATCACACCTACTTTTACTCTAAGTTGGCAAACCACATATCAACACACGAACAATGTGACTGAGATTTACTAGATTTGTTTTCTGGTAAATATACTGAAATACTTCACAAATTTTAATGGCTTTTTTTTTGTTTAAGAAATTTGTGGTAATTTTCTCCAATTATCATCATAGTTTTCAATGTGTATCCTTCAAAATGCTCCATGCACAAGTTAATGAGCAATGGTAATATGAGAGAATTCACAGTAGGACATTATTGTTATTATTTTACATAGATATGGTTAGAAATACATTCTTTCACAATTTAGTCATTTTCAAGCTAATGGCAGAATATCTGTATTGTTTCAAATGTTAGTGAAACAAGATGATTCAGAAGTAATATAAATGTTTGCTTGTAAAATTTCTTAACAGTTGTTGAGTTATAAACCTTGAATCATAAACATACATTAAAATTAGGATCCTAAAGTCAACAGATGTGAGTTATAAACATTAAGTCATACATGTGAAATCATGACCCCAATGTTAACACATGTCACATTATCAACACTGAACTGTAAACATACATTTAAATCATGACAATGTAGAGTTGTAAAAAATGAATCATAAGGGTACATTGAAATTATGACCCCTAAATCAGAAGAGTCTTGTTTTATTTTGTAGATTTTTATTCAAAATGTATCAATATCAAATTCCTTAGTACCTCTAAATAAGTAGCTATAGTTTTAATGACTGACAGCTCAACTTCCAAAGCCAGGACCTCAACAGCTACTCGTGAGGATGAAGATAAACACTGTACGAGTGGAGCAAGTTGGGACTGAATCTGAAATAATAAGATGTTAGACAGTTCAACACTTAATGATAAATATAATCTAGATACAATAATAAGATATTTATTAGAAGTTTCTCCAGCTGGCCTTGAAGTTGCTAGGTTTATATTTTTTTGCCAACTGGTTTAGCTGCTACTTAAAATGTTAAAAATTATAATAAAAAGTAAAAAAAAGAAACAATTAGAGAGTCAATAAACAAATATCATTTACCTTCAATTTACTGATTTAATTTTTTTGGAAAGATATATATTGCTGGCTTGTTGAAATGAAACTCATTCTTCCCCTTTGTCCATATGCTGGATAAAGGAATAAATGAAGATTGGAAAGTTGAACAAAATGTTGATGTAACTGATGATCATTATTTTGCACACTTGGCTGAATGTGTTGTTTTTGTGGGCTTGCATGATCCATCAGAATTGTTGGTAGTTGGCTGATACCAGAACCTCATCAATTAAACTTACATAAGTACTAAGAAGATTCAGACACAATCAATCTAAGTTATAACAGCTGGCATTGAATAAAATGATGAGGGCTAATAGTGTTCTTATTTAACACTGAAAACCTATCTCTAAATGAATTGCCAAATATTTCAACAAAATTATTATTCATTATGTGGCTAGCCAAAATAAAGTAACTTTTGGATACATCTCTTGGGGATACTATTTTCTCTTATGTTGTTCAGGGCAAAGCTAAGTTGGCTTTCCAAACGCCACTTGGAATGTGATCCATGAAGTGTTACAAACCGAGTGAATGGATGGAAAATATGTTTACTGTGGATTACTGTATTTCTAATTGCTGTTGAGAAGTTAACTTCATATCAGATTGGAATTGTAAATATAAATGAAATAAAACAATAATGAAGGGCAAAATATTAAAGTTATATGCCTATTTGGGGGGGGGGGGGAGATTAATGCATCAAGTTTATTAAATAATGAGCAATTTTAACACTTGGAATAACTAAAGTTTTATTCCATGATTTATTGAATAAACATTTGGTTTGGAAGTTTTTATACCCTCAATTTAGTTAAAAAAAGATATTGGCACTTACCAAATACTGTTATGAACAGAATTTACACTGTTAAATAAAATTTTATTTATTTTTAATTTACGTGTATTCCAGTAAAATTAAAAAGGAGGTCATTTTATTCTCTATACATTTTTATGCATACAAATTTATAAAATATTCTTAAGGAGTGATTTTTATTACAAATATGCCATAATGACAGATTTAAAAATCCACCATCTAGAAAACTGTAACAAGTGAATTTAAACTTCTTATTTCTAAGAATCAACAATAAAACCAATAAAGTAGTAGGGGTGCAAGCATTCTAATACAACGCGATTTCCTAATCTTTTTTTCACAAATTGAAAGTGAAATTCTAGTTCACAAAGCAAATTGTTTATGTGGAACTACTGACACTTATTTTACTTCAATCAGTAAAGAAATACATCAAAGAGGCACTCACGTACATGGGATGCTAATGAAATTACAAATTTTATATCAATAAAAGGTGACTAGGTTGCAAGATAAACAGTTCACGAAATGTGACAATTTAAGATATGTTTCAGTTGGAGGTTAATATGTAAATTTTCACAACACACGTACCTGTCCTTCATATCGTTTCTTGGTACTGAATAACATCTTCTCTTGTGAAAGAAATGTTATATCTATGTCTGCTACAGACATGCTACTGTTACTTCCTCCTTCGGTAGCACTGACGGTTCGACAAGTATCACCTTTACCAGTACTACAGCTCCCAAGACGACTGATTTCTCCCTTGGTGGTGCTACTGTCTACTTGATCCCTTCATTAAAGTAAAGTATTTTTAATCTTTTAACTGATTTAAATGAAAAAAAAAAAAGCAGTAGCAGTAATCACAAGAAAAACTTTAATTAATTCTTTAAACAACTTTCGGGAGCTAAATGCACCTGTGAGTCTTTTTTTTTTTTATTCTACAATGAAAATATTTAGCCAAATTGCACAAGACTTGGCATAGTTTTATAGGGCTGTTTTCTGGTTTGAAAAGTCATGTAAAATGAATTAAAACTTGCATCATTATCTATCTTAATCTATTTTTGTTATTACTGATAAGAAAGATCCATTTTGTGTATCAAATTAGATATAAAAACTGAGAGCCAACAAGAAATAATAGTTTGAAAAATGTTTAATTACATTTAAGAAATAAACTAATTTTCTGATAAAAAATTATTGAGATATAATAAGAATTATATTTGTTTAACAAATTTTGAAAGTTGAGTTGTGAATGTAAACCTCCAAGGATGCAAACATTACTGGTCAAACGAAAGTTCATACAGCTTTAACAACCACAAAGTGACCAACCCATATAAAACTTTTTACAAACACATTCATTGTTTGCAATAATGAAAAGTAAATATCTTAAAATGGGTTCAAAAAACTACAATAATTCAGATGTGCACTTTTAAGTTTGGTATTATAATGCAGATCTCACTATGAGGGTTATTTAACTGAAATATAATACTTCAGTTTCTTTCAAAATCATTTTTATCTAAAGAACATACTTAGTTTGTTTTACTGAGGCAAACTGTGAATCTTTTATTGTAGTTATTTATCATGCATGAAATTTGTACTTAACTGGGCATCTTTTATAGTAGTTATTTATCTTGCATGAAACTTGTACTTAACTGGGCATCTTTTATTGTAGTTATTTATCTTGCATGAAGCTTGCACTTAACTGAGCATCTTTTATAGTAGTTATTTATCTTGCATGAAATTTGTACTTAACGGGCATCTTTTATAGTAGTTATTTATCTTGCATGAAATTTGTACTTAACGGGCATCTTTTATAGTAGTTATTAATCTTGCATGAAACTTGTACTT